CCTGAGGCTGGGTACACCTGTGGTCCACAACACCGAGAGCCTCTGTCTTCCAGTGGACAGAGGCTGTGAGCTGGGGTGAGCCCCACTAGGCCAACCGTGGGCTATACTTGTGTTTTCCGTCATCTCAGCCCTGGGCTGGCCCTGTTCCCTTTCAAGAGCTGGCAGGCTAGTGGGAAGATCAAGCAAGGTAGGAGGGACCCTGCAAGGCTTTGTGGGTCCTGATGCATTGGGTCCCAAGCCTTGTGCTGCAAAGAAGCAGGAAATCCCAGAGTTTTCTAGAGTGGCTGCTGAGTTGGCCTTGAAGGATGAGGAGTGGAATTTATGTTTAAATTCATGTAACCTGAGAGTACTGGGGATGGAAGGGGTCTTTAAGATTACCCAGTCCCAGGTCTGTAACTTTTTTTGATTTACAGACCCCTCAGAAGGACCTACAAAAGCTGTCCCCAGAAAAAACACTTCCATGATCAATGCAAGACTTTGCATTCTGCTTTATAGGACCCCCTGAAGCCTTTATGGACCCTACAGCAAGAAACCCTCCCTGCAGTCCAAACCCCTCTGAAGTGCTGAGAGCAGAGTGGGGCCTGCAGCCCAGCACTCCTGACCTCCACTCAGTGCTGTCTCCACGGCCGGTGGACTGGACAAGCCAGGGACCAGGGGTACTGGATGAGGTTCTGGGCCAGCCTTTGAGCAGGAAATGTTCACACTGCCTCAGTGTATAGGTTAGCCATCTCATCTCTGAGTGTGTCACCTGGAGAAAGGATGTCCAGAGGTTATTTTGTTTTAGGATCCACTCGTCCCCAGGAACAAGGATGAGTGGCGAAAGAGTCTAGCTCTTTTCTGAGCATTTTCATAAGCATCTTGATGAATCACAGCTAACACGTAGCACTTAGAATTACTCTATATCTCATCTGTGAAATGGGACTAAGCATGGGGCCCTCCTCATAAACATTATTGTGAGGATTAAATGAGGCAGGAGCTGGGAGCCCTGGTCTTAGTCTTGAGGGACTATGGGCCTGTGAGGGCCTGGTCAGAAGTGCAGGTGACAGTGCTCAGGGCTATAAGGATCTTCCTTAATTTACGATGGGGTTATGTCCTGATTAACCCATTTTAAGTTGAAAACACATTTAATACACCTAACCTATTGAATATCATAGCTTAGCCTAGCCTACCGTACACATACTCAGAAAACTTATGTTATGGCTAAGTG